CAAGTTATATATATACACACACACATACATATAAATATATATATATATATACATATACATATATATATATGTATGTATATGTATATAAATTTTACACACAAAACACGTTGAAATGACGACAAATTTATGAAATGTAATATCTTTACTGTGTACAATATAATTTAATACGAGGTTGTTGGAATGATTATACAATATTTGTACACAATGTTAAATTCTCTTCACTCTATATTCACAACCTAAAATGATTTAAAAAATCTAACAATATGAATTACTAATACAACAGATTATTATGAAAATTACGACTTGCTTTCGTTAAGTATAGACTCTTATTTTGAACGTATATCAACAATTAAGTAACATATTATCACTGAATTATAAATGTAGTAAATAGTTACCATGAATTTTCTATAATTCTAGAATATTTCGAGATTTAGTTGTTGGTTACTTAAATGAAACAAACTATTAGAACAACTAAACACAGGAACTAACTTAAAAGATTAAAACGCCAAACAACATTCAATTAAGAATATTACGAGAAGTGGTCGTAACGTTTGCGCGGCAAAATCGTCGACGCGGTAAGCGGTAACTGCGTAGTCGCGATTGGTTGTCCGAGCCCTAGCCAAAGCCATCATACATGTACACAGGATATGTATGCATATAACTATGGGCATATGTACATTCTATGTATGCATGTACACAGCTCCAACTCCAGCACGTTTTCCTTCCTCTCTAAGCAAGCGTTTCTATCCCCACCTTTTTACTGCGCATCCAATCCGCAGTGAATTCTGTTTTAGCACTGTATCGTCAGTCAATCAGAGCAAAACATTTTCTACTCTTACTCATGCCTGCGGAGCGAGCCGCGGCCAGAAAGGTTTGCAGAAGTTGAGAATTGAGCTTGAGATTATTGTACATTGTATGTATATACACCATGAATCTAGAGGACTGAGTATAAACTAGACTTTCGGGCATGGGGTATAAAACGAACGAGTGGACCGTGGTCAATACCTCGGTCATATTGCGCTGGACATCTGGCATTGCCACCTGTCGTCAAATTGTGGTTGTAATTTCGTTGTAAATTTCGTAAATAACCCCGCATCGGTATGTAAGTGTGTACGTATGTACTGCTCGATACTCAGTACCAGACAGAGCTCCCAGCATCCTGACCGCTTTACGACTATCTTCCAGGAAAATAGGAGTGAGAGAATTACCCATCGTCCAATCTCATTTGTGAGGTCTCCTCTCTGCTACTTGGAACAGATTCCGAGCAGAATCCCTGACACCATTGGACACATTAGACACCAATGAACACACTGGTCTTGGGTGGGAATTCCACGAACGAAAAATTTCAGGATGCTGGGAGGTCTGTTCAAGTCCCAAGTCTGTATGCGCAAGAGTCCCGTGCTTGTGATACCTTTGTAAATTAATGTGTTTAATGGTTTTGTGTAAAATGAAATCTAATCTAAGATACGAATAAATATACCTATTTCAAAATACAAATTTGTTGATTGAAATATTTTATATGATTGTATTGCCTTTAGAGATTTGTGTGTTATATTCTAGAGAATAAGCATTACAGTAATAAACAAATCGTATAGGTTAGATAACTACTTTACATACGTGGTTCTTCGTTTGTATTGAAATGAAATATTACACAAAATGTTCTCTTTAATATTCAAAAAATGTGCGGTTCGTTTTCAAACGCGTGAATTTGCAACCATTCTTATTAATAGTATGAATCGAATCAACAGAAAAGTAATAAAGCATTTTACAAATATAAACTGTGCCGGTTTAATAAATCGAGATGATAGAACTTATTACCGGCCATTCAGTAGTACGATGGATGAATTTACATATCTACCACCATTAATGAATATTCCGCTATATAAGTTTCCTACGATGCAGAGCTTCATAAAAAGAATCATATTTACCTCTAAATTTCGTACTGTTGTTGACAATACGTTCAACATCGAGGAGTTCACGGCTGGATCATTGCATGTACGATGTATTTACCAATTTATTATACTACCTTCATAGTTTTTAGTTTAATCTATTTTGTGGGTTTTTTTTTGTAGGCAATTACGACGATATCACAGGCATTAGCTGCAAAAGATTATGAACAACTAAATGGTCTTGTAGACGAGCCTGTTATAGAAATGCTAAAGAAGAGGGTTGATCTGTTAACAACGGAACAGAAAGAACTAATTCCTGTAACTGATAAGAATTTGTTCTATTATTACAATTATGATATGGATATCAGAAATCCTAAAGACGCACTTGGAAAGAGTAAGCTATAGAAAATGTTATGTTGCGTAGGCATCTAGATGTATATAACCTTAAGAGAATGATACTATTTGGATTTAATAATTTTCATGTTATGCGGGTTTATTACAGGATGCGAGAATCTTATCGAGGTGTCACTATTAGGTTATTACTCTCGTGAATCAGATGTGGATTTCACGGATCGACAAAATTTCTCGAAAACAGCCATCAACGCCATTGGAAGAAAAGTTATACATGTATTAATGTTTAACTATACATTTCAAAGGTGTTATTATAATGACGTGGGAGGACCATGGATAGCTACAGTAGTCAATCATTTTACAATTGTAAATAGATCTTTTGAAAAATAATATAGTAACATATTGGCTCTACTAGAGTAGAGCGAATATCATTGATTTTATATTTATGGGTACCAAAAATTAGTCTGTTCTTTTTATTTTTCAGACTTCATGATCTTCCTCTTAACTCGAATGGGCGTAGTTATCACATTGGCATTAAATGTGAAAACAGCAAACTGAAATGTGTGCACCTACTCAGAAATTTAGTAGTTTTATCTCATTGCATTTAATTACATATGCATGTGTGTTTGTGATATGTACAGTCAAGAGTTTATGTATTTCAGTAAAGGGGGTATGTAATTTTGTAGATACAATTTTGTTGCGCTAAGATGTGTTCCATGTTTCGATATAGAAATAATTAGCGGCCCCTAAAAAAATGTTACAGTCATGAAAGAATGCCTCCAATTATGAAGATGAAAAAAGGGAGCAGAAGCATTACCTTATTAATTTGAGGATTGTGAATCCAACATTCATTTTTCTTTTGATCTTGATACAAATTGTTCCGTGTCGCAGGAACGGAATTGAAATAGTTGATTTGCAAATGTTGAGAATTAATTGAGTGAATTTTTATTACATTCAAGTAAGGCTCCATGAATGATACAGTAACTTTTATGCATATATTTGCTGTTTGAAAAGTGACTTCGGACGTCGTTGTTGGAAGTAGTGTAAGTTTATCGAAATCACTAATGTCTGGCGGACGATTATCTGCAACGTTTTATTGTGTATAAGTGGAAGCAACGATCTCTTTGTAATATAAATATAATTGAAATTACTTTTATGAACAGCATCGGTCAATCGAAATGGTTTTGTAATAGAAGATGCAAACATTGGAATTTGATTGCGTTCCATACCCTGGAAACAACTATCTATAGCTGAAATTATAAAGATGATCATCAGATCGAAAGCACGATCACAATACGATATAACGTATGTAATAGCATATTGACATACATTTCCCGACTTTTTCAAATAATTTTGTAATTGGTATGTCCTTGGTAATATATTTACCGAGATGAGTCATATATAAACCGTATTTACTGTTTAATCTTTCATAACTGGGTCTATGACCGGACGTGGAATATGCTTGAAGTAAATTTCGAAGATTCTTCTTACTCTTGTATTCAGTCACGATCGGAACTTCATTATATATCTCAGAATTGAATTCCCTGAAAATGATTACGTTAACGCGGAGATAATAGGATATAATTAAAGAAGGAAAGAAAGAAAGAAAGATAACTTGCTTCGATGGTGATACTTGGCACATGTCCAAGATAACAATTAATAATTCTGGATCATTTTGAAGAAACGATGCTAATAGTTCACTTTCACATATAGCATTTTTTCTTAAATATATTTCTGGAGCATCTACTGCAAGCATATAACTTTCTTGCATCTTGAAGCCATGACCGGCATAATAGAACAAGCCTGTCAAAACCGAGAAATTATTTAATTTTATATTTCTTGTGTTTTTGAAAATGTACTACTTACTATATCTTACCATAAGCACCGCCAACCAATAGTTTACTAAACAATTGTATGGCATTTTTCATTTGAGCTATCGTTAAATCCTTCAAACAAATCACCTCGAAACCGATTTCTTTGAGTAGAGTGGCAATATAAGCACCATCGTTTGCAGGGGTTGAAAGGGGTTCTTGGGTATAATAGTCCCCATTTGCGATAATTAATGCTCTTTTTGCAACTGTTTTCAATCTCGGAAGATATGTCTGTAAAATGTTGATATCGAATGATTAATGTGTTGAAATATGCTATATGTAGGACATCTGGTACATATCTATAGCTATTACCATAACGAGAGATCTATCCGTATAAATCTCGCTGACATCGTTATAAATATGACAATAATATTTTCCTTCGTGTTTAGAACTAAATTGTTTTATCTGGAACAATACATAGTTGGATGTGTGCGAGTTAACGTCACATAATGCAGCCTATAAATGAATCAATCAGCTTGCTTACATGCAATACGTTAGTAGTTTCACTTTCTAATTTAGCGTTGTCTTGGAACCACTGATATCGTGGCTCTGGATTACCTCCAGCTTTACAGTATATTGTAAAGTCTTCTCCCTCTTTGACTTCCAAAATTGGATGTGGTTGTTCTTCTATCTTAACAGGTACAGAACATATTTGTACACGTACAGCGTTCGAAGTCAAGGTGGATACAAGAATACCGTTGTGTTTAATTTGAGACACTTTACATCGATATTCTCCTGCTTGGGAAACACTTTGAAATATATGGAATTAGATTTGTTGCACGGTCGAAAACTACTCGGACTTGGATAACCTTGACATAACATTAAGAAAGTTATACCTATCGACGATAATATCTAGCTCCTGGGAGGTGGAACGTTGCAATTGCCTACTTTCATGATACCACGAATAACTCGGAGGTGGCATTCCCACTGCTTTACAAATCAAGCGAAGATGTTGTCCGAACGATATATTTAAGATATCGGTTCCTATTCCTTCGGTTGGATGTGTAATAATTTGCAGAGGTTCTGAAGGTGTTCTAAAGGTTACTACATTAATTTACAATGTTGGAAAAGTTAAACCATTAAAAGTATACCTGAATCAGCTATAATAGATAGAACGTTATAAAGTCCACAGTCATCTAATAATATACGCAAGATTTCAACGGTGCACATTTTAATGTTCAATTCGAAAAGCAGTCTTTCTCCTGGGGTATCGTGCGGTGTTTTTGTCTCCTTCAAAGTCTGCACCCATAGAGCACTGTGAATCCAGGACGATAGAATGATATTGAAATTCTTAATTGATCGAACAAAATTTTACTGTGCTATAAGACAGATATAAAACAACATAAGAAGCCACTTTCATTTCAAAGATGTTGCCAGTTAAAGATCTTGGTTAAAAAAGAAGTAGAAATTTTTGAAAATTTGACTCGTGTTGTTTTACCATTTAACCATAGAAATAATTTCTTATTACCATGGGTATTGAAGTTGTTCAGCTACATGGTTCGCTAATGTTATCCATGCCGAATCTTTGTCGAGTGCATTAATTAAATCTTTATATACATCCACAGGTAAACATTCAATAGTTGCGTTTTCGTCGAATTGTGCCATTGTTAACATCGTCAAATATTAAATATGCATTGTATTTTAATCGAAGACTACTCCTCTGGAAGTTTTCTCAATGAATATACTTTCGTCATCGTTTACACTTTCCTCACCGCGTACAAGGAAAATGCAAAAAACGACCTTAATCTTTATTACCTAGCATGACTCAGATTCAGAATTCAGAACAATTCGGAATTCGGAATTCGGAATTCGGAATTCGGAATCAGAATGGAAATGAAATACCATACACATATACATATACATAGGCATGTGTCAATAAATGTATACCTTCTTTTAAATTGATACGGTAGATGCGCATAATCGCATAGCGAAGTCAATCAATCGCAATGATTGCAACTAAACTAGATAGATACTATATAATGACATACATACATATATAGGTACGTATTTCCATGTAAAAATAAAATATATCAAATAAATTTTTGTTGTAATATTTAATTTCTCGACACCTTCTGCATATATTTATATTCATTTGGAAATAAAATCAGCGTATGAATAAACATGAGCAGGCTAATTAGAACTTACGTAACAATTCTGTAGTTCGTAAATAGAATTCTGACTAAATTTCAAGTGAGAATAATTGATAAATAATTGTATTTGATGAAAAAGGAACCGAACCTACTTTACAAATTGCTTTCGAGCCTAGATACGACAAAGAAATACATAAAGAGATAGCGATTACCGATACATAATATACAGATCGTATTCTTCAATTTGTTTTATCCACTATGTACATGTGTACACCGTTGTGTCACAAGGTGATAATTACGTGTACAAAATAAATAGAAAGTTCATCTGAAATGTGTAATAACGTTGAATTATAGAAAATAACCAGTCGAGTAGAGTGTTCAATTCATAAAATTCCCTACCGTATCCTGTATTATTGGGTTTCAAATATTGCCGCGCTTTCCACCGTTCCCAATTTCTCTCGAGCAGTTTTTTCGCGGATTGATATCGATATACAAGAGGTATCAACTTAGAAAAGTAGTAATACAATCCGTAAATAGGTTTGAAATCAGGGAATCATGAAAATTGTCGATTCTGTAGAAATGCTTTCTGTATACGATAGAAGTTTCGGCTGCAGAATGTACGCTTTACGTCGCAGTGATTCCAACTGTTTTACCCTCCGTGCGTAGAACGTCTGCGACAAACGGTCGAAGTCGAGAAGAGCTTCGAAGAGACGAACAAAGGCGAAGGCGAAGGCGAAGGCGAAGGCAAAGGCAAAGGCGAAGGCGAAGGCGAAGGAAGGCGAAGGCGAAGGCGAAGGCGAAGGCGAAGGTGAAAGCGAACGAAGGCGAAGGCGAAGCAAACTAACATTTCGGAACACCCCGGAAAATTGTCGTTGGTTTTTTATTCNTACCGCGCGACGAGCGACGCGTGCCCCGATCCCCGACGAGCATCGTCGCCGCAACCGATTCGGTATTCGAGGCGGCAGGCGTCGCACCGTTCGTCGATAAATTGTTTAGAGCGCGCCAACGTTGTATCCTCCTGTTGGAACATCGAAACGCGGTAGTTTCGACCGTCGAGGAAGTCGTGTTTTACAAAGGTTCTGGCCCCGGGGCTACCTATACACGATTCGACTGGAAATTAGTTTCGAATTTGGAGTCTCGATGCGTGGCAGTGGAAAACTTGGGTGGAAATTGACGCGCGAGAGGAATTTCGATGTCCTCGACTTCTGGCGTACGGAGAACGGGTGTATCCGATATCCGATCCAGCCGTTGCGTCGATCGTTCGATCGAAGCTCGAGTTCCTCTCTCGATCCACGTTCCCTCCGAAAAACCCGCGCAGCGGCCAACCGAGTAACCTCGTTTCGCTCGGCGATTTCGACTAAAATTTTAGCGAAACGTTCGCGCAAATTTTCGGCTCCGCTCGCGGACGCCGCTAAACGCAGGATATCGAAAGGAGACGCGAACACGGCTGCTCGCGCATTGCTCGAAAGTGCGAGCAACGACGCGGCCTGCCACGTGCACCGAAGTGCTCGCGAGAGGCCGAAGGGGAGCGAGGTGGTCGAGGCGAAGGCGAAGGCGAAGGCAAAGGCAAAGGCGAAGGCGAAGGCGAAGGAAGGCGAAGGCGAAGGCGAAGGCGAAGGCGAAGGTGAAAGCGAACGAAGGCGAAGGCGAAGCAAACTAACATTTCGGAACACCCCGGAAAATTGTCGTTGGTTTTTTATTCCGGCTGCGACAGAGTGGTGGGGGTCGGATGCAACCAATGGGCCCGCGAAAAGCGGCTCCTGCGCGATGCGCGTGGCGCGCTGCGCCGCATAATCTTGCGTATCAGTGATCGGCAGTGCCATCCAGAAGGCAGTGGGTTACGGGTTCTATCGTGCGGTGTGTTATAAATTAGTGGAGTCCTTATTGGTGCGATCGGTAGGGAAAAGGGAGACGCGCGCGCGAGTAGCCTGAGGCGCGCCACGGGCACGGGTCGAGTGGGTGCACGCATAGAAACTCGCGAGTGTGTCAGGGGAACCTGGTGACCCGAGCCATCATGGCGAATCCACGAAAATTCAGTGACAAGATCGCGCTGCACAAACAGAAGGAGGCGCAGGAGAGGGCAGCGTTCGAGGCGATCATGCGAGAGGTTTCGGACGTCACAAGCAGAGTAAGGAAATCCCAGTAGGTCCTTGCCATTGAGGGGGACACGCCGTGGTATGCTGCTGCTCTGTACGCTATCCTCGGCTCAGATGTTAAGAACGTAAACAACAACGAGTGCTCTCTCTCGCTCACACTTTTTCTCCCTCTTCTTCTTCGTTGCGCCGTGGTTGTCCGATTATGTGTAGATATCTATGTCTTTACGCGACTGTGGTCTTGGTATCCTCGCTGTACAGATGTGCGTGTACATGAGTGCGTGGCTAGGTTTACACACGATTATCTACATACGTGTACTCGCTCGCGCTGCCACACTGTTTCACACATCACACACGCGCGCGGGCGCGCGCGCTCACACACACACGCACGCACACGCGAAGACATCCCCTCCATCCCCCTTCCTCTTATCCTCCGTCGTCGTGGTCGTCGCGGTCGTCGTCGTCGTCGTCGTCGTGGTCGTCGTGGTCGTCGTAGTAGTTACGACGATCCGTGTTCGCCGTCGTCCTCGTCGTCGTCCTCGTCGTCGCCCTAGCCCTCGCCCTCTTCGCGTGTGCGCGTCTCCTATGCATTTCTCTCGAAGAGGATAAACGAACACGCGTATATGCGTAAAATTTATGCTGCCCGGTGTACTGTATGCCGAACGCGTTGTGCGCTTGTCAGCCAACATCCGTCCTGCAAGTTCCTAATAAATGCAGACGTATGCATACGATCGTCGATCCCATCCATCCTGCTGACACATTCGAGAATCGACTGCGCCGCATGCGATACATTTTCACATGACACGAATCGTCTCGATACCTCGATCGAAGTGGATTCATCCAACGTGGCGCTTTGCGATCGAAATCGAATGACAGACGTTCCGTGGCTCGCGCGAAGAACGGCGCTCATATTTTTCTATCAGGCGCGACATACTTTGCCGTCTGCGATCGATCCGACCCGAATGAACTGTTGCTCGACGAAAATGTGCGCGACCCGTTCGACTTTTTCTCTCTTTCTGTCTGTCTGTCTCTGTCTCTGTCTCTGTCTCTCTCTCTCTCTCTCTCTCTCTCTCTCTCTCTCTCTCTCTCTCTCTCTCTCTCTCTCTCTCCCTGTGTGTGTGTGTGTGTGTGTCTGTCTGTCTGTCTGTCTGGCTGTCTCTCGTGTCCTATCGTTCACCGGCCCTCGAGGTATTTCCACCGACTGGCAGTGTCGGTCAGGTTGGGTTCGTTACGTGTGTGCTCGGCTGAGAGCGATATATGTATGTACGTGCACGCCAAACCGTTGAAACTGCGTCTTTCGTGTTCACGTGTCTCGATTAACGTTCTGGACGGTATCTGTTCGAAATGAATTTTCTCGCGCGTGAATGGAACAGGTTGTTGCGACTTTTACGTTTGCAAGCCGAATCGGCGAACAGGCAATTCGGTCGATCGATTATCGTTACGAAGCGACTCGTATATGGTAACGGCCAACGGATTTACGAAACTCCGGGACCAACCGAAACATAGATCTATGGGACGTTCCAGTACTCGTAGCATACCCGATGGAAAAATGACAGGAAAAAATGTGGAGTACAATTTGTTCGCACGAAGCTTCGAGTTCGAACGAACACGCGGCAGTTGATTCGGTGTGTCGCGAACAGACGACAGAACAGAGAATCGCTCCGTTTCCGATAGCGACGACGACGACGACGACGATGTATAACCGTCGTTTTAGTTTGAAATATCAGTTAAAAGTCCGGAAACGTAGGAAACGCGACGCGCGACAAGAAGTATATTATCGTGCATCGATATGGGACGGAGCTGTCGGGTGTTCGACACCAGCGGCTCGATCGCTAATTGGTTCGGATCGAGGATGTCGGGTCCTCGAAGCGATCGGTTCGCCAAATTTTGCGCTCGATATAGGTTCGTTCGGTTTCGCGCGTTGCGATATATTCGGTTTCAAGACGATTCGAATTTTGAAATATAACCTTGCTTCATTCGTTGTCGTTTCAGCGATTCTCCGTTTCGAATCGGTCCGATAGAAATCGCGTTTCTATTTTGGCGGCAACGCGATTTCGTTTCCGATCGTCGGTGCGTCGGAGAAGAGAAACTCCCGTTCCGTTGTTTACGTTTCGGTGGTCGGGTCGCGTCGCCGGAGAGAGCCCACGTGGACGACGCGCGACGCCACACCACGTGTCTTTAAAGGCCGCACGCGAGACCGATCGCGAGGGCAAACTCGAGTTACGAGTTACGAAAGCTTTCGTCGTACGCCTTCCGGTCCGTGGGTACGAACTCGCGACGTTTTTCGAACGCGCAGATTCTGTCCGAAACAACGTCTCCGACCACTTTGGACCTCGAAGGATGCGTTCCGTAGGCGCGATCGCGATAACAACCGAAGAAGAATCGAGGCGAGTCGTATTTCTATTCGACTTCCGTTTATCGAATTTATTTAAAGGTGCAACTTTCCGTCCGTGTGATCGACGTATGTACCTATCGGTCCGTACTCGATCCTCGAAATGTCCTCGAACGCGTTGGTCCTGGAAGGACCAAAAATAACTGTACACCCGTTGACAAGCACGTACGCGGATCGCGCGGGCTTTAAAATTCGTTCGGAATACCGATCCCGAAATGGTTGTAAATATTATCACGATTCGGTCGTTAACTTGTAATTCGATCGAAAATGTAAAATATGGAAAATATGGAAAATGGATAGGAAAAGGAGCGAGGTTCGTATCCGGTGCTTCGAGCGCCCTCTTGCACGCGTTGCTTCGGTTATTACGCCGCTGGAATCGCGCGGAATTGCCGCGTTTTTCGCCGCCGATAACCGTATTGCCATTATGTAACGTTCCGTTGAACGCGGAAGCTGCGATACACGTTGTAACTCGGTACTCGTTGTTCGATCGCCGGCACGACCACGCCGCGACCGCGATCGCGTTATCGCGACGCGCGCGAGCAGCTTCGTCCGCGTCGAATTGTTCGCGACGAGACCGGACCGGGGGCCAGATCGGGCACGGCACGGGGCACGGCACGGCCGTTTTATTTGTTTTCGATGGCCCCCCAGCGGCTCGAACCAAATTATCCAACGAGCAACGATGCGGTGGCTCGTCTTTTTGCTCGAACTTGGCTCGTGGTCTGTAAAATGAAAGTTTGAAATGCGAATTTCGCTCGATTCGAGAACTACGGAGATTCTGAAAGAGGTTTATCGTAAAACGAGAAATTTGAAAACAGTAGATAGGTGCGAACGCGCGATATCTCGATCCACGTCGACGCGATCGCGATCAAAATTTGCAAATATCATCGTTACGTCGAACGCGGTTACGATTCGAAACGATCGAATACGTACTTGGAATTAGTAGCAGTTCGATTTGGTAACAGCGCCGAGAAAGCTGCGGACGTTCTTGAAAAATTACTCGATTCCTTGGAAACGATCGGTTTCGACCAGCGAGATTTTTCGTCGCGACGAACGCGACACGAACGAAAGTCCGATCACGGATCTGCCGTGGTACACCCGACCCGCCACCGCGGATTCCGTAGAATCGTTCGTTTCTCGGATCGTACGGAAATATCGATCGTTCGCGCGGCAAACGATCGCCCGCTCCGACGATCGCGCGAAAGACCTGTTACACGAAAGAGCGTATAAACGTTGTTTCGTTGGCGCAGCATTTCGCTGGACAGAATATTTGCGCAGTCCGGGAGAAGCGTGTGCTCGCGCATCGTTGTACTCGCGTTCATCGATCCGGATCTTCCCATCGTTTTCTGAAAATTTCAAAGTACGATCGTTCGTTCGGCGGTTCTTTGCAACTGCGACTGCAGCTGGAGCTGCGAACCGGAAAGTTACGAATTCGGCGAACGCTCCGCGCGTATCGTGCCGGATGGTATTCGCACGCGGTCGATTAATTTACTCGCACGCGGTAATTCGCGAGAAATTTACGCGTTCCGGAGATTCGGCCAATTTTGCTAGACGTCCGCGCGGCCACCGTACGATTCGCCGCGGGCCCCGTTACGTTCCTCCAAAAATTGTCCCAGGAGTCTCCGAAATTTCTGTGGCCGACCGCGACGGGATCGATCGCGCGCTGGAATCCGGCCGTGGAACGAATTCGGTGACGAGACCATGGAAGAAAGATAGAGGGGGAGGGAGAGAATTCAACCTGTTTTATCGAATCACGATCCAAGCGGAATGCCGAGGTTGCGGTAGAAAACGCGGTCCGTGCGTGGGACATCCTCGAGAACGGTGGTACCATCTCCCGATCCAAGTTCGCGGATTCGTCGCTCCGGAGCGCGGCCGATCGTTCGAGTTTCCGGATATTATCGATTTCCGGCCGCGAGTTCGCCGAGTTCCGGCGAATAATCCCCGGAGCAATTGGAACGGTTGTTCGAGAAGACGAAAGCTTTCTCGCAGACCGTGTTCTCTATCGTCGCGGGCCGAGTACACGGCGTCTCGTACAGGTTGGCTCGGCGACCGCGGGCCAGCCGATCGTTTCGAGACAGAGGCTCGCGGTTGCTCTTTACGGAATATCCGGAACCGCCGGATTTGAAAATTTTCGACGGAAGCCGTTCCAGCGCCGCATCCGAGAAATCGTTTAGCTTCGTCGCTTTCCGTGTAGGCCGATCGATCGGTTTTTCGCGACCGGTCGCTTCGGAAAACGATGTCTTTTTCTTTCTTTTTGCAATCGAGCAACTCTGGACGCTCTCGCGCGTTCGACCAAAGGCGTTGTCCAAGGCGAGACACGGTTTTCACGGACGACGGTGCGAAAGGTGCTGTTCGAGAGACGACTTTGCGCGACGGCTCTCGATGACTCGATCCGATCCGAGAGAAGCTCGCTCCGCGGAGCCGTGGGAGATTTCGAATTCTCGGCGCATCGATCGCCTCGCGAAAGCGTCGATTATTATCTGGTCCTCGGAGGAAGGCACTTGGAATACTCGCAATAATTGTCCGTCTCGCCCCGCCTCGCCTCGCCTCGCCTCGCCTCGCCTCGCCTCGCCTCGATTCGACGTATCGTCGCTATCTTGTAAGCTACGAGCTGTAAACTGTAAACTGTTGAGTAATACGAGCGAGGGGTGGACAGATATCGCGACGATGTCCGCGTCGGACACGGGTTTCTTCTTTCGAAAAACAGGTTAGCCCAGCCACGAAAGTTCCGCAACCTCTGGAAATCGATCGATTCGTTGGCACACGGTGCGTGCTGCCGGTGGACGGAAAGTTCGCGGAAAGCGGAAAGCGGAAAGCGGAAAGACCTTGGAAAATTGTTGGCGACGAGGAAAGTTGAAAGTTCGATGCGAGCGTGTTCCGTCGGTGAAAAAAGTTGAAGAAATCGCGGATCGGGCCCGCGGTATCGAAACTCCTAACGCCGACGAGCGGTCGTCGTCGGCGATAATTCGGATACGGTATCGCGCGTACCCTTCGTCGCCTCGGATCGTAAAGTTGCTCGCGGAATATCGACGACGTCGCCGAATGCTCGATAAAATACCGTCGTTCGTAAAAGTACGAGCCGAAGGTGCGAACGGGCAGGGAAGAAAGTTGCGAGATTCGACGCGTGAAATTGTAGAAACGCGAGCGCGAACGAATCGAAGGCGCGGGCCGCGATCGGAAGCGTTCGCGGTTGAAATTTACAAGCGTCACGAGGGATGACCGAGGGTCGCTCTCGCGACGACGCGCGTCGGATTCCGTACGAATCGAGACGCGACGCTGGATTTTTCGATGGCCGAACGCGCGCGATCGACCCTCGGCCGGTAGAGCGATTTTCACAAAAAATTGCTTCTATACGCGTGTACCGGGCGAACCCGAATCAAAAATGCGGACGAACGCGTCGATCCGATTCTGGTTAACGGTATCCATCGATTCTTGGTTCTTAACCCTCGACCGTTACAGCCGTTCGAACTTATGTAACCGCTATCGGCGGTCTCGCGGACAGCCAACGTTTATCGCGTAACCATCGACGCGAAACTATTAAATAAAACATCGTCTCTTACGATTATATTATCACCGCGGACGAACGAGTAATTGGTAGCGGTCTCGCTTTATTATTATAGTACCGGCGATAGTACTCGAGGGTTTAAAAAACTCTGGCTTGAAAAATAGTAAGAACATGAAATTGAAAGTTTTACCGGGAAACGACGTTGAACAAAAAAAAATGTCGAGCGCATCGTATCGATTAAGGGTCGAACTCGTTAAATTTTCGATTATCGAGGGCCCGCGCGACTCGACCCAATCGTCTTTAACAATTTTGCGGGTCTTTCGTCGAATCGAACGTCTTGGAACTTGCGGAGCATCGATTATTATCGCTTTCACGACTGTCTGTACGTACACGCGAAACCGTTCGATCGGTTCGCAGTCCTCTGCGCCACTGTGCACGCGTGTCGCGGAGTCCGAGCAAAGACCGAGTGTGCGTGCGTGCGTGCGTGCGAGCGAGAGAAAGAGAGAGAGAGAGAGAGAGAGAGAGAGAGAGAGAGAGAGAGAGAGAGAGAGAGTATGCGCGTGTGCGCGAAACGGTCGCATCGGCTCGAGCAACATGGCACGTAGTAAGTAGGTATTTACACAGGGTGCGAGGACGAGAGATTGCCATAGATCGTAGATCGTAGTTCGTAGATCGTAGATCGTAAATCGTAGATCGTAAATCGTAGATCGTGCATCGTGCATCGTGCATCTTGCATCGTGCTCGACGATCTACTCATTTTACTCGGAATGCCCGGCGGCCATATGAACGATGGACCTGCTTAGGTCGCCTCGGCGAGCAGCTCGGTGGCCGCCAGCCCCACGGGATCGTCCGGGGTACTGGAGACCCCGCTGTCCGTGCAGAGTGCCGGCGGCAGCCCACCGCAGTCCAACGGGAAACACCTGTACATTAACCTGGTGAATCAGTTCAGGGCGGGCGGCTCTCTGCCGAACGTAAACAACAACGCGAATTGCGGAAACGACGCGAAAGAGCACGCATCGACGCACGCCGCCGCTCTCCCGAACGACCTTCAGGTATAATTGCCCATCTAACATCGAGTTTAGTCGCTGTGTAGCTGTTTTATATTATCCTTTCGTCTTCTTTTGTTGCGCACCTTTTGCTCTCACCCGCCTACACCCCCGCCACTTCCTCGGCTCGCCGTTTCGTGCGCCGCGACGCGACGATCGTCCTTCGACGCTCACTATTTTTTTTTTACCTATTTAATCCGTTTCATCCGTTTACAAACGTTACCGCGATATTTATTCGACGATCAACGAATAAACGAGCAAACGAGTATACGTCGAACGGTTTAGGTTGCATCGCGGTCGCCGCGACTTTTACCACACGGATTGGACACGAGTGCACAAATTTCGATAAAGTCTAACGAGGCCTCTGTTTTACGCGCAACGCTGCTAACAGACTGGATCGGTTTTTTGTTCCGTTCCGGTTGCGGTAAACGAATTCATCGTCGCGCGTCCGTCTCCGTTCGAGAACACCTTGCCACGGTCCGATGCTCGTTGCGCGAATGATCGATCGAGACTACCGCGGGCATACCGTTGCGCGCGAAAAGCGCCAAACTAGCTAGTCGCTTTGTAATTTTGCGATCCGATCGAAGAACAGAAATTGTAGCTGTCGCGTCGGTTGGGATTTCGAAACGGATCGAATCGGGATTCTAAGAGAATTTCGAGCAAACTTTGGAATACTCGCTTGCGCGCGCGCGCGCGCGCACACACACACGCGCGCGCGCGCACACACACACACACACACACACACACACACACA